TTTTTTAATTGTATCCTTTGGTATATATGGTTGCGACTATTTTCTTCCACTATTTGATCTGAGGAAGTGGGTCTGGCCCACGAAAGCTCATCACCTAATAAACCATCTTGTTAGTCTTTAAAGTGCTACATAGTCCTGTTTTTTGTTATAGTTGATATATTAATGGCAGAAGAGATCATTGTGATCATAGTCTTATCTTCTTGCATAACATGGGCTGTTAAATTTCATCCAGTTACCCAGTATCAAATGCAATAAATTGTGTTGGACTTAAGCATATCTTCCAGAAAGGCATCCAGTCTTGGTCTGAAGACATCAAGCATTGGAGAATCTACCAGTTCCCTTGGTTGTCTGTTCTAGTGATTAAAAACACCACCACTTAAAAAATGCATGCTTCATTTTTGATTTAAGTTTGTTTGGTTTCAGCTTCTGGTTCTTGTTAAGCCTTTCTTCACTAGATTAGAGAGCCCTTTAATACCTGGTATTTTCTCCCCATGAAGGAACTTAAACACTGTGATCAAGTCACTTCTCAGTCTTCTTTTTGACAAACTGAGCAGATCTGAGCGCTTTAAGACTCTCATTGCAACACATTTTCTCTAGCCCTCAAATAATTTTTGTGGTTCTTCTTTGCTCCTTCTCCAACTTTTCAACAACCTTTCAAAAATGTGGACACCAGAACTGTCCACTTTTGTCCACCATGCCATCATGGTGAGATCGATTCCAGGCTAGTGTCATATACAGGGGTAAAACTGCCTCCTTATTCTTACTCAAAGCTCCCCCATTTATACATGAAAAGATGGCAATAGCCCTTTCCCCCCACAGCATCACACTGAAAGCTCACATTGACTCACTTGTCCATTATGACCCTTAACTCCTTTTCAGAGTTGCTGCATTCCAGGATATAATCTCTAATTCTGTAGGCATCACCTGCATTCCTTGGTCCCAAATTTTTAACTTAATTTTATTTGGATGCATAAGAGATATATTCAATTAGGATTACCCATTGGCAATCATTTTTTCATTTAATTTGTGCTCTTAATAATTTTTAGTAATAACTCCTCTTATTAATCAGAATGCTGTGTAGCACTAAGTCAAATGCCTCATTAAATTCTAAATACAATAACATGCACAGTTGTTTTTAATCAACCAAATGTGTAATCTCCTCAAAGAACAAGATCTAGTTTGTTTGACAATGCCTACTTTCCATAAAAGCATAGTGACTGGCACTAATTGTTGTAACATGCGCTATGTTATATACAGTAAAAGCTGTGTTATCTAGCATGCTCGCGGATTAGGGCATTCCGGTTATCTAAAAATTCCAGTTATCTAAGGGTCCCATCAACCTAGGAAAAACCAACGGACAATAATAATAAAACTCAAGTTTTTAATATTGGTAGTTTTGTAGTGTGAGGTTAGGGTTGCCACATGGTTTAACCAAAAATGCAGAACACCTCTCCCTTCCCCCCCCCAAAAAAGGACCCCAAGAGTTATTAAGCTAAAATAAAATAACCCCTTTAAGTGGAAGAGTGGACAGGTTGAGCATTGCTTCTCCTTGCTTCAGGTCCTTAGGCTTTTTGCCGGCAGCCATCTTGTTTTCTTGATCGAGCACCCCCAGGTAAGCAGGGAGCCCAGGGGTGGGGAAATTGGGGGAGAGGGGCAGGCCGGGGGCTGGACCCAGTTGCTGAGTGTGTCATAAGGTTGCCAGGTGCCTGGTATTTTTGCCTCTTGGCAGGGAAAAAAACAGAAAATACCAGACATTTTAGGTGTGCGGTATTATCTGAATTTTTTCCACCAGACAGGAGGTGAAAATACCAGACTGTCCGGGTCAATACCGGACACCTGGCAATCCTATGTGACGTAGTTGGTCTCACATTTCTATTTTGAGTTTAAGATGATTAGTACTTCTTAAATAAAAATTTGTTAAGCCAATCATAGTAAACCAGGCCAAGCCTGTGTGCCTGAAGATGTGACAGTATTGTGGCTGGTGGCAATGCCAGTTAACAAAATAACAAAGGTTTCACTGTACTGCTTTCCATCAAAGAAAAGATGGTTAAGAGTTCATCAAGACTTACTGACAAAGCAGAAATATTTTCAAGCAAAGTTCCAGTTTCAAAATTTGAGTGAAATACTGAAAATGATTCGGTTTTCGACAACTGAAAACCAATGCATTTGCTTTTCCAAGCAGAGCTTGAAAAAATTTCAAAAACCCCCACAAAAAACAGTTTATTTGAAAATAAAACATTTTCAAACTCATCAGATGCAGAACTGTTTAAAAATGTATGCTTTCTAACAATTAAATCTAACAACCAAGGAAGAATTAGTTTTCTTTGTCTGTAAGAGAGAAGATAGAAAAGCCAGGTCTTCACTTCCGGTAAAATTGAGGCTGCAGCAGTCAATCTTCCAGAGTTCAATTTAGGGGTCTAGTAGAGACCCACTAAATCGAACACTGAGGATACCCTCATCAATGTTGGTACTCCTTGATTCGTGAGGAGGGAAGTCAATATGAATGTATGCTCTTGTCGACCTCCTGTTGTGGAGATGGCACCGAAGGTCAAATTAAGGTATGTTGACTCCAACTACACAATTAACGTAGCTGGAGTTACAGATCTTGATTCTACCTTCCAGGTCAACATAGACAAGGTCTAAGATAAAGGAAAGGGGAATCGTTTGTCCAAACACCTGGGAAGGGATTCTAACCACTAGACGTGGCACAAAGTGCCACTATGAGTAGATTTCATTATGAAAACTCTCAGGACTAGGGATGTTAAATTTAGTTTAACCAACTAGTCAATAACTCAATAAGCGGGGAGCCACAGCAGGGTTAGCTCCTGCCTGGGAGCTAACCCCACTCTACCTTTTAAATGGATTAAGAGCCTGTTAGACTAAAGTGCAGCAGGAGGGACTTAGCACGAGCCAGGACAGCTGATTCCTGAAGATCAGGTTAAAGAGCACAGTTTGCTGGATTAGGCCCTAACACACTGAAATAAAACCGCTTGATATCAGCAGAGTTGTACATTTCGGGAACTGCTAAGGATAAACCTAAAAAACCTCTTTGGCATTAGTGATCCTTTGGCATATTCACAAGACTAATGTGTGACTGAAAATGTCACTCATTTAAAAGTGAAGCAGCCAGTGCTTCAGAAGGAAAAACTAATGTGACAAATGCCACCTTCAGCCAGATGGGGAGTTGAACTAGTGACTTTCCAAACTAAAAGTACACCCTGTTTCAGCTTCAGACAAAGAGCCAGACTCTTAAGAGGTGGTCAAAAGGTTCATATGCTTGGAGGTACAGGATAGCCACTATCAGTAGATTACAGCAGCACAAAACAACAGGCCTACAAACAGTTTTCTTAAAACTCCACTCTCCAGTTGTGGGGCTGGCTTAGCTGGAACCAAGATTTCAGAAAAAGTTTAAAAGGGGAAAAAGAAAAAAAAAAAAAAGGAAAAAGCAAAATCATATAAGAAAAAAAACAAAAACAAAATAATACCTGGTGCAAAATTTGAAAGTTTGAAGAAGTCTGCATAGATGATGCACATTTCAACACTGTCATTCACAGTTTCTCCTATTCTCCTTGTTCAAGTCATGATCCTCAATTTGAAAAAGTAACTTCCATAGCAGATAAGGGTTCATTAGGTCTTACAAATGAGTTCTTTCTGCACAGAGCTCAGAAGCCATGTGGGATGACCCGGCTGAGCTCAACACAGGTTTGGACCAAGTTGCTGTACCACATACACAGTGTGAGAAATAAGCAGAAGAACGAGGGGAATTTGGAAGAAATAACCATGCAGTTTTTTCCATAAAAGCCTACCATAATAAAAACAAGGAACTGGTTCTCAATAGTTTTTTCAAATTGTACCCAATCTTTAGACCAAGGATGTTAAAATGTGGGTAATTGTGTAAATGCGTTAACTGCTGAAAAACTCAATGGTTACACAGTTACATACACCTGCAGCCAGCTCTCTGGGAGCCAGTGTGTGCAGCCCAGACAGCGCTGTATCAGAGGCAGGGAGCATCTGTGTGCAGGAAGCTGGCTCCCAGGAAGGCAGGAGGGTGGCAGCTGGCTCCCTAGGAGCAGGGCAGGAGCCTGCGTGTAACCGTGAACATGAAGTGATAACCAATAAGCCTGGACTTAACCATTTACACGGTTATATACTCACATCCCTACTTGAGAGGAGGTCTGCACCAGCTGAGAACATGGTCCTATATGTACCTATTCCACCCTTAACTTTCTACAACACACAAAGGGTTGTTCTTATGGCACAAACCCTGGATTTCCTTATTCATTTGATTAGTCCGCACTGAAGTCACACACAGAATTACAACACTAGGCCCTAACAAAAGGTATGATGCTATGTTTCTATCATTGGGCCTCATCCTGTCTGCAGTCCCTAACTCACAGAAGGAGATTTTATTAAAGTCCATGAGGAATAGTGGCAAAGAACTGCAAGATCACAGCCCTTTATTTTGGTTGTATTATCTCCCTGCTGAAATGACTTCTTAATAGAGGGCAGGCAGAGCAAAAGCTATATTAGGAAACGTTTGCCCTTCAATTTCCCCCAGCATTAATAATTTTTATACTGCCAAATTGTACTCCTAAATTAGTGTTGCCCTTGAAGTGCCCAGCATAAGAGGTTCCTTTACTAAAAATAAATGCACCCGATTCTCCTCTTTCCTCTGCTTTACAGAGTCACATCTGGACAACGGTGGGACCAAAAGCCACCATTACTCCAGCTCAGGGGCTAGGAGCTGGCAGGCAGCCCCAGTGAGAGGAGGCCACTCCAGAAAGGCTGGAGCAGTCCTTGCCCGGGATCTGGCTTAGTCTGTTAACTGGTTAATTGATTAATCAAGCTTCTACATCCCTAGTTTTTACAAGACCTGGTTTAAAAGTTACGAAGTTTTAAGAAAAGTCTTTTCCTTTGCCTGCCTTTCCCCTAAAGGGTTACTGATTTCAATCTTTTTCCTGCCATTTCAAGGAGTAGGAATGATTTATTAAACATTAAAGCAGAAACTCTGATCTAATCCCATCACCCTGGAACCTGAACTTTACCGAAAACACCAAATATCATAACTGGCATTGCTGTGCAAATGGTAACACCCAGTGAAAGTCCGCTGGGAACCAGGTGCTTAAACGTCTCTTTTTCTACTCATGTGAGTAAAACTCCCTCCCATTCCTATGCACCACTGTAACTGATTTCAATGGAGCGATACTAGCATAAGTAATTGACAGAACCACTGGGAATCAGGTTTCAGACTCCTTGAAGGCCCTGAGAATTTTGTTGGTCACTGAAAGCAGGATCGGGTTCAAACGGAGAGGTAGCCGGATTTTCATCATTGCTTCATGAAAAGAAAACAAAGCCAAGGCATTTCACAAGACTTATAACAGCTGGGGGGTGCAGAGCTCAACTCTTCTCTCCCTTATGGGCAGGTAACTCAGCTGCATGCTCACTGCAGCCAAAGGAAACACAGCAAATCACTGCAAAAAATAAACTCAAGTCCCCCCCCCTTGACTTTACACATGGTATTCCCAAAGCAGGCATTAACCCCTCCAGAGTCTCACCTGCCTCTCTAGTCTGCAGCAGCTGGGGCAATAGGAACTTGGGAAGCTGAGCTCTTGGGGGAGGGGAGGAAGCGCTGGCCGTAAAGCAGAGAGCTGCAGTGAAAAAGAAACTTAAGAAGGGCTGCAAAGCAGCCAGGGGAAGTGGCCGGTTGTCATAGCGACACAGGCTGAGTGCAGCCAGTGAATGCTGCTTGTGTAACCCACACGCCCGCTGTCCCTTCTAGTGGCACTGAGACCACTTACAGAGAGAATAATGAGTCTGCTCTGCACTCTTAGCTAATAGCCGGCTGACTTGTAGCCCATGCGGTAGTAGCTCAAGTCCTAAGCTCCAGGTGTGATTGCACCTTCAGGCAGACAGGACTCTCTTAGTGTTACACCCCCCTGAGGACGTGCCACCTCTTTTAGTGCATGTGTGTTTTAATTACTTACAGCTCAACTTGAAAAATCAGCTACCGTGGCAAGTCTGGCAACCCATGTTAGACTTCTGCAGGCTTTAATATTGTTTCCAGAGAAGCAAGTGGCACAGAATTTGCAACCAGGACTGGAGATCAAAGAAACCCAACTTTAGGTGTGTTCATCTCTGGGATGTTAGCGTGCCTGCTTATATTGACTATAGAAGATTCCTCAAGGGCAGTAGAAGGAAGGAAGAGGAAAAGGGCTGAGTGATTCTGAAAGTGTCTGTTTTCCAAAAAACAAAAATTTTGTCTTTTGGTTTTATTGGATTTTTTAAAAAACGACATCTAAATAATTAAATGCAAATCACAATATTTGGGTGGGGTTTTTTTTGTAAAACGTTATTTGTGAAAAATATAGAGCATTTTCATCCTGTCCTATTCCAATTTTTTTTTTTTTTTTTTTTGCCAGTCAGAAGTTCTGCATTTCACTTGCAATATTTTAGGCTCCCTGAGTGAAATCCTGGCTCTGAAGGCAAAACTCCCATTGATTTTGATGGGACAAGGATTTCACCCTGTGATTTTTTTTGTGCATATCACCAAGATTAACAGAAAGGCATGATTCATCACACAAAACTTCCCCAAACACACTGGCATCGCAAGGTTTCCGTTAAAACATGTAATGGTTTGTTGATACGACCATACCTCTGGGGAAGAAAAACCAGAAGCAGCTGTTGAATTGTTCATTGGTGCCAGCTGGAAAAGTTGCCTGTTCACATATGCTGTATGCAGCTGTGCAAAGTGTATCCAGGACAGATGCAAAGAACAAGCAGTTATTTAAAGCATGCAGAGAGGAGAGGGCTCTGACACTGATGCATTATGGGAAGAAGAAACCATCTCTCCTAACTCAAAAAGAAGAGTGAACTGGTTTGTTAGGAGGCGGTTAAGTCTATGTCAACAAATAAAGAATAGGCTACTGACGGCACAAAACAACCAGAAAATGTTATGAGTGTAGCATGTGCCAATGAGGAATGTGTGTCCACAATATTAGCAGAAATTAATGTTGCATTGCCATCAAAAGCGGGGCCCATCTATCTCTCATATTGCAACCTGCAGTTGGCCCTGGGTTTGCTGCTATGGGTAATACAAAAACGCTGCAGAGATTTGTCTGGCTTAAAAAAAAAGTGATAAGTTCTCTGTCCTGACAGTCCAACAATCAAAGAGCCAGATCCCTGAACTCTGACCCATGTGATTAAGGGAGGGGTGGACAATAATTTTTGAAGTGGCCCCAGGCTGCCCTGGATGGGGTGGGGCCTTGGGCAGAAGGGGTGGGGCCAGAACACTTCCGTGCTTCCCTGCTCACAGACCCTGATTGGCCTGAGGGGAGGGGAGCAAGTGAAATCTTTGCCCCTACCCTCCCTCTGCCTAGAGAACTGCCAGCTGTTCTGGACAGATGGCAGTTCCCTCTAGGTACCCATACCTCTCCCATTCCCAGGCCCTGATTTTCTCAACTGAGCCCAGAATTAGGGTACATTTGCAAACTCAATTATAACAACAGCCCCATATTATATTATCTTTAACTACATGATCATGACACTTGTTATACAAGACATCTGTCTTTGGGGGTGGGTGGGGTGGCGGAGGGCAGAGGAAACTTCGCACACTCCTCCCGTCCCCCGGCCAATCAGGACTTGGGGGTAGGGTTGCCAGGAGTCTGGTTTTTTACCCGACAGTCCGATATTTGTGCTCTCTGCCCGGTAAAAAAATTCAGAAAATACCGGACATGTGCAATCTCCGGTATTTTCTGAATTTCCGGCTGGGCACCGGAGGGAAGCCTGGCGAGGGCGGTGGAGCGACTGGGAGGCAGGGCCGTAATTGGCGCTGGGAGCCTGTGGTCGCCTGCAAAAGCTGTGCGGGGGGAGAGGTTGGGACTCCCTCCCCTCCCGCCCGGCTTCTGCA